TCCTGCCCAAAAATAGCCCTGGTTTTAAGAATTTGAAAGAATTCCTGGATGGAAAGCATTTCTCTGCATTCCCAATTTTTGTATTATTTGTGTTTCCTGATGTAAATGATTTATCATCTTTTTACTGCATTTCTCAGTGCTGGTGTACTTTCTTTTAATTGGCCTATCTTTCTCGCTTCCCTGTCTGTCTGTGATCAATAAAGAACACCTTTAATGGAATTCAAAGTTGTCTCTTCCCCTTGTATTTTCCCCCCAAATACCACCCAAGAGTGGGCCTGTATATCACAGACTCAATTCCACACCCAGGAGTTGAGTCAAGCGGTGTTATGTGTGAGAGCTACACATTTGTGGCTTCCACCCTCTTTGTCCCCTCATTAACCGACTGTAAGAGAAAAATTAATCATGGGAATTCAGTGGAATTATTTAGGCGTAAAATTGAATCATTTTTATAGATTTATGAATGATTTCATTACTGTGTTTGTTTTACAGAACAGCGTCTTTGACTGACACCTGTCTGGAATTACTACATACTGAAGGGCATCAACCCTTTGGGGAAAGATCTGGAGGGCAGGGCCCAGGGACTGTGCTGCTCACACCCAGGAGCAGGCAGAGGTTCCCACAAACAGGCAGGATCCAAGACAGCGGTGGACAGCCAGAGCTGAACTGGGGCTGATCATGGGGGTTGGGGGTCTGCAACTGTCGCGGTGCCCTGAAGTCACATAACAGGATAACATTTCACGGGGAAGCTCGGTGGTCTAATGCAGCGGAGAGGCCCCAGGGGGGCCCGCCACACCACTGCCTGACCTGAGCTCCTACCGGGGCTTCCCGCCTTCTCCACTCCTGGGGTTCTGGGAGAGACCATGAGTCCCCTGGGAACAGATGCACCTCCTCCATCGTTTCTTCAGCAGTCCCGGTCTCTGGCCCTGGATGACTTGGGCTTCAGGCCCAGCAGCCACAACCCTGGCAGGAATGACCCCAACCCTTTTCTAACAGGCTGGAATAGCTGGAGGAATTTGTTGTCTATATAATATCCTGCAGACATGAACTGACAAGAGTCCCACCAATCATCCCAGCCCATCTGCTAGAGCAACGATGCTTATCTTGCTGCTTTCCCTAAAACTGATGCAACATCCTCCATGAATAACATTCAGCAATAGCACTGGAATGTGTTATAACTCTGTTTTGTTCCACGTCATCCCTCTTAACCTTTCTTATGTCGTAGAGAGACTTAAGGAAGGAAGGAAGGAAGGAAGGAAGGAAGGAAGGAAGGAAGGAAGGAAGGAAGGAAGGAAGGAAGGATCCAGACTGAGGGTGGGTTTCATCTCTGAATGTTTTGGTGCCCCTGCAACTTGTTGCCACCTTGAGTCTAAGGAAATAAGTTGGGACAGAAACAGTTTAAATAAATAAGTAAAATAGACCCGAAGGAAGCCCAATGCCTGTGAAATTAGGTAGGGTCAGAAAAATGAAAGCACCCCAGCCTTTGAGCTGTACGCTTTCAGGTCTTGCTTTGGGGCAACAGAACCTGTGGAGTCTGGATTGCACACAAAATTAGATCAGCTGTTGAAAACTATGCATACCGAGAGTGATTTCAGCTAAGCATACCTTTATTTAGTCAGGAACAAAGACACCTTAACCGGCTCGCAGGCTGGCTTATATTCCCTCAGAGAAACCCACCACCAAACACCCCCCCACTCCCGATAGGCTATTTACAATGCCCAAGAGACCTCTTGGCCTCTTGGCCTGGGACCTAGCCCTTTCATTGGGCCTGGCTAGGATCCTACTGGCCCATTGTCTTTTGGCATGAAGCTAGTGGTGTTTGTGCCTGGGCAAGTCCAGGCATGCCCGGCCCTGACAGGGCCTGATACACTACAGCTGTCTTGAACAGCCATGGTGTATTTATGGTGGAAGAGAACTGGTAAGTACACGGAGCACCTGTAGGCCTTAAGGGAATGTTTTCCCTGCCCTCCGTTTGAAGGTTAAAAATATTCTGTGTTATTCTGACGAGGGTCAGGATCCAACCATCCCGGCAGTTTAAAATCACCTTAAAATGGTAATGGCATCCTCACGGCAGCCACGAGGTCACGGTCACGTTTCGTTTGCCTCAGGCCCGTAGCTACAGGGGGCTTCTCGGGGCCGGGCACCCTGACTTACCGTCCCGGCCTCCCGGCCTCATTTTATTTTTTGCCGAGCCATCCCCTTGCCCTGCGAGCACTCGTGAGCGCCAGCAAGCCTGTGGGTAGGACACGGCTGGGCCAGGAGCAGAGTGCCGCTGCCACCACCACCGCTGCCACCACCGAGGAGCTCATAGCCTCCCCACCATGGCCAGCAGGAGCACCGGCCAAAAAGTGAGTGGGCCCCAGGCAGCATCAGTTCCTCTCTCCCGGGTGAGTGGGTTGGCTCACGGGTGTGTGTGCGGGGTGTGTGTGTGAGGGTGCCCCCAAAGAAAGAAAATCCTGGCTATGCCCCTGCTTTGGCCCATCATGATTGACTAGATGGGGGACAAGACTGGACCCTGAAGGACTCCACAAGGCAGGTCCCACACTGATGGCAACCGGTCTCCAACCGCAACCCACTGAGACCTGCCCACAAGGAATGATGTCATTATCAACCAATCCTAAGTGAATCCCTGAATCCCGCCTTCTGCCTCAACGAGATGACATGGCCCACACAGTACCAAACGCAGCTGATAAATCCAGTAAGAACAGAAAGGCACTGCTGCCCTTGCCTACCTTCGACTAGAGATCAGTTCTGTCCCATAACTGGTCTGGAACCTGACTGAAAGGGGCCCATGGATCACCCAAGAAGGCCCGCAGTTGGTCTGTCACTGCTCCATCCATCACCTTCCCCAAGAAAGGCAAGGAGACTGGTTGACAATGGGCCACGCTGAGTGGCTGGGGAAAGGTGCCCTGAGCCAGTGACCGATACAGGATGGGCATCAGGGACTCCTTGGCATGATCCTGGCACAGTTTCAGTAACCAGAGTAGACAAGGACCCCAAGCACAAGGAGTGCAGAGTACAGAAGCCAAGGGCCTGTCCCTCAGGAACACCTCTCCTCCCTTCAGAGAGAGGTGTGTTGAAATGACCTTTCCCCGTCGTGTGGCAATACAAGACAGGGAGATTCTCACACTTGTCTGCCAGGTGAAAGGTGTATCTAGGCCCCCGGTTTCATCACTGGGAACACTCCAGGTCAGGTCTGCTTCTGTTGCAATCTCCTCCAGCCTGGCTGGCATGGAGGGGAGGCATAAAGCTCCACTGGGGAGCAGGAAGGCAAAAGCTCTCTTCAGGCAAGCGTCTGTTACCACGACCTTCCTTGCAAAAAAAAAAAAAAGGTCCAGACTCCACAGACTCTTGAGTGGCGGATGGTTTGGAACACCCCCACCCCCAATGCAAGCTTCCAGACCTGAACGGCCTATTAGACTTAGGTGGCAGGAAAACATACAGGTGTGATGTCTTCCAGGGTGTCAATAGCCATTTCAGAGTTCAGTCTCTTAAACTGGGGGAAACACTGTGAGGAAAGAACTGAAACCCTTCCTACATGCAAAAATGGAGCCCTCCTTCATGTAGATGCTTGAAAGTTTGTTTCAATCAGGAACTCCAGTCATGGATCTCCCACAACCACACAGCAGCAAACAAAATTGTCTGTGAGATTTTAAAGAACCTGAATCCATTGGTAGATAACTGTTCTTTTCACAAACATTACAATCCCATGCAGACCTATTTTGGAGTAAAGCCCACTGAATACAGTGGGCACTTTGTTCTGAGAAAATACGTTTAAAACCAAGCTGCATGAGTGGCCTTTGAATTTCCTCTTCTGTATATTAAATAGTGTGTAAAAAACAATGGCCAGTAGATTGTGAATGCTCAATCTACATTCCAATTCCAAAAAAGGAGATATCAAAGACTGCAGCAACTGTCAGTTCATTGCATTAATTTCAAGTAATTAATTGCAAGCAAAGTGATGCTCAAAATCTTACAACAAAGTGTTATTATATGTGGACCAAGAAATACCAGTTGGTCAAGCTAGATTCAGAAAAGGAAGAGGCACTTGAGAAGAACATCAACTTGTGTTTCATAGATTAGTTCAAACCTTTCCCTGTGTGGACCATGAAAAGGTATGGTTGGTTTTAAAAGAAATGGATATCCCACCACATCTGATAGTTTCATCTGGAGACTGTGGAGAAACACAGTGGTTCCCAATTGACAAAGGTGTCAGACAAGGATGTATTTATTCCCCCGTTTCTTCAATCTATATGCCAAAGGTAACATAGGAAACAGTGGGTGAGATTTAGAGGAAGGTGGAGTGAAAATGGGTGGAAAGAATATGAGCCCTGTGAGATATGCAGAAGGCACCGCCATTACTGGCAGAAAACAGCACCGGCTGGCAAGAACTCCTGACGACCACTAAAGCCCAAAGTGCCCCCGACGTGCGATGAGTACAGCTGGACCTCACGAGGGCCCAACTAAGGACGGCTGAGGAATGACTCGGAAATGTGAAGGTGGATCATGAAGAAACTGGAGTTGTCCAAGAGCTGTCCTTTCCATCACGGGAACGGGGAGCTGCGCCCAAGAAATCAGGCGGCGGCGGCGGCGGCGGCGGCGACTGGGGAGGTGTTGCTGGCAGGCAGCCCCGGTGCAGCCAGTCCGCCCTCGAGCGTTGCGCGTCGCTGCGCAGGGGGGCTGCGGCCGTGGGGCAGTGAAGAGAGCGGCTCCCTTGGAGAGGGGGCGCTGGAGGAGGCGGAGGCGGAGGAGGAGGAGGAGAGCTTGGCGGCTCCCCGTCGTTGCCTCGGCTTGGCCGCCTCCGCGTCCCCCCTTGGTCCTCGTCCTCGCCTGCTGCGGCGCAAGCGTGGCGGGCGAGGCGAGGCGAGGCCGGGCGGCGGCACCTGCTGGGGCGCGGAGGGAGGCGTGGCCGCGCCGCGGATGTCATCAGCAGCAGGAGGGGACTTCGAAGGCGCCCTTGGCTCCCGCCGCCGCCCCCGCCCGGGCATAAAAGCCGAGGGAGAGAGGGAGGGAGGGAGCCTGGCCGGCCGCAGCGCGACGACGACGAGGAGGATGGCGCACGGGGGACCCGCACGAGGCCCGCCCGCCCCGCGGCTCCGGCTCCTGCTGCTGCTGCTCGTCGGGGGTAAGGCCGAGCGCGCCGCCCCA